AGAAAGAAAGAAAGAAAGAAAGAAAGAAAGAAAGAAAGAAAGAAAGAAAGAAAGAAGAAAGAAAGAGAACACATCTGCACTGTTTCTGCAAATGGTGTTCAAGCACCAGCAAATGGGTGATTGGTTTAAGATGTTGGTGTGCAAGCTAGGCTTCATCCTTTAAGTGGGCTCTGATGTATGAATTATCCTCTGCAAGATTATATATTTCATTCCTCTTGGGGAGAGTACAATTCACAAGTTAGAAAAGTATTAGATAACTATCATCAGTTTTGCATGTTAAATATTCCAGATTCTGAAATTCTTAATAATCACTCCACAAAAATGTTCTTGCATATACAACACTGGAGCAAACTTATTCTTATTTAATTTCTTTTTAATTTAGTTGTTTTTTTATTTTGAGGATTTAATACAGAGATTTAGAATTTAGAGCAGTTCTACCTTCTGCATCCCCTTCAACTCTTCTCATGGTATCCCTACTCCCTCCAAATTCATGACCTTCTTTAATTATTCTTGTACATATATAAATTCACACACATACACATATGCATCATGTGTAACCCATTTAGTACATTTATTGTTGCTCAAACATTTGTGTTTAAGGCTTACCATTTGGTAGTGGATGATGTCCACGATAATTCATCCCTAGAGAAGACTGATTCTCCCTCTCTCAGCAGCCATTAATTAGCTCTTGCTTTCATTTCATGATGGGGTCATGAGAGATTTCTCCCCTCCATATTGGCTTGTCAACTGGTGTTGTCATTATGCAGTGTTTCTTAAGATGACCAGGTTATTGAAATTGTAATGACCAAATTATTACAAATTCTTGTTGCTGTCTCACAGCAAGAGTCCTGGTTCTCTGATTCTAACAATATGTTAGACTTTTTTTCTATGACTTTTTTTCTATGAAGTTTTCTGAAATGTAAGACATGGCAGTGACATTGTAGGTGTACCAGTTAAAGTTGGGCCTCCCGTGGTCTGTTAATATTTGCATTTTGACCAGTAGCAGATTGCTGTAATAGCCTTCTGTTGAAAAAAAAAAGTTTATTTGGACTGAGAGTTATATTTATCTGTGGGTGGATGAATAAAAATACCCAGAATACAATCAGAAGTCACACAGGTTTAGGAGATTAACAGTAGTAGATTTTGTTTTTCTGGTCGACCTCATTAGCCATTAGTAGTTTGCTAGGTTTACAGTATAAGATCTAAGTTCCGTGTTATTGAGAAAGTCTAAAGCCCAACTAACGAGGGATTATTAAGCACTAAAAAGAGTTACTTTTGTACTATTGGGGATATCTTGCAAGGCAAACATTGTTGTTGTTCATAGGCTTTACAGCTGGTTCTAATAAACCTAAGGGAGGTTTCCTATGCCTGGCACTGGTGTTTTTATTAGATAGTCTATGGTCTTTTGTGGAAACATAACTACATTTGATTTAACTTCATTTAAAGTACACACACACTCTCTCTCTCTCTTTCTCTTGCACACACAAATGCATACACACACACACACATCACAGTTATGAAATCTATTGTGATAACACCACGATCAAAAGAAAATTGGAAAGGAAAAGGTGTATTTGACTTACCTATCCTGGATGATAGTCTTTTGAGAGTAGCCAAGGCAGGAACCTATAGGCAATGACTAAAGTAGAAGCTATGATGAAACAGTGCTTAATGTCTTACCACCAATGGCTCCCTTCCTTACACCATCCAGGTGTTTGCTCCCAGTAGTAGCATTGCCTTCACAGTGAGATGTATCCTCCCATAATCACCATAAATCAACAATAAATCCTAAAGATTTTTCTAGGCCAACATGAATCAAGTAATTGGTCAACAGATATTCCCTCAGCCCAGCTATGTCTAGATTTGTGTCAACTTGGCAAAAACTCAACCCTCTCTCCAGCCTCTCTTTGGTACATTTTTTTTTCTCAGAAAACCTGAGAACTTCTGCAGTATAGACTGTCAAAGCAGATGCTGAGCCTGATGGCCAACTGATGGGCAGAGTGAATGGAATTTCATGTAAGAAGTGGGAAATAGTAAGAGCTGGAGGGTACGGGAACTCCACAAGGAGAGCAGCAGAACAAGATAATTTGAACACAGGGAACTTCCCAGAGACTCATACTCCAACCAAGGACTATTCGTGGAGATGACCTGGAACCCCTGCACAGGTGTAGCCCATGGCAGTTCAGTGTCCAAGTGGGTTACATAGTAATGGGAAGAGGGACTGCCTCTGACATAATCTGATTGGCCTGCTTGTTGATCACTTCCCCCTGAGGGGGGAGCAGCCTTACCAGGCCACAGTAGAGGACAATGCAGCCACTTTTGATGAGAACTGATAGACTAAGATTAGAAAGAAGAGGAGAACGTCCCCTATCAGTGGACTTGGGGAGTGACATGCATGCAGAAAGGGGAGGGAGGGTGGGATCGGGAGGGGAGGAGGGAGGGGCTTATGGGGGGGATACAAAATGAATAAAGTGTAATTAATAAAAAATTAGAAAAAAAGAAAAGATTACTAGATATTAATTTGACTTATTTCTTTAATACATATAACTATGTATTATTCTATATGTTTTAACATTATTCTGCATTTATTTAAGTGGTATGTATGATAAATTACATAGCCCCATATGGACATGTAAAGATGGTTTTAACATAGTGTTAAAAACTGCTAAACCTTGAAAATGTTATTTTTTGTTATGTTTGTTTATTTTGAACTTGTAAATGCTGTATTTAATAGGTAAGAGACTAAAACCCACTTTCCAATAAACAATTTTATTCAGTGTTAAAAAAAAAAAAACCTGAGTGCTAACTTTGTCCTCTCAACTCTCTGTACGTTTCCAAGGAAAACCCATCACATTATGTAAGACTGTGGGTAAAGCTGAAATTTGGCTCATCCGAACATATTGGGATTTTGAATTTCCTCATCCATATTTGCCAAATTTTGATTTTGTGGGAGGACTGCACTGCAAACCTGCCAAGCCATTACCTAAGGTAAGTCTAGGACAGAGAAGATATTAGGTATTTCATGATACAATAGCTGATTTTTCTTCAAGGTTAATAACTTCAGTAACAGAGATATTGCTATTTAGTAGCTTCACTGTACCAGGAGAATTTACTTTCCTCATCATAGTTACTTTTCAACGAAACTTGTTGGATCATTCAAATTTTATTAGAGAATTTAAGATTGAAAATAAAATGTTCGGATGATTTACTAAGGGAATATGTGTGTGTTCTAGAAAAAAAATAGAGTCACAAATATCAACAAGGAGATTTCCTACAGTCTTCTTCATGTGTCTGACAGAGCTGTGAACAGTAATCTGTGCCCAACTGCTTTATAGAGAAAGATAACTTCATAAAAAAATCTTGGCAAATTTTTAGGATTCAGTGAGTCAGAGAAAGCACTTGTGGGAGGCCCTCAGAAGCACAGCATCTGGGACATAGTCTTAGGCTTTAGTGGATTGTCATTATAATTTTGGTAGAAAAATTAGCTGGAGATGGCAATAATGAGTGTGCCCTTCAACTGCATAAGGCAAAGAGCCAATGATTATTTCACTGAAGAAAAGTGAGAAGTCTAAAGAAATGACCGGTTGGTGTAAGTTGAGAGTCATCAACATCAAGTAAACATAACGAGACAAATAAACTCAAATGATATCTGGGCATCTATGAATATGAAGTCAGCAGTTTTTGAAGTAAAAAAGAAAATTGCGCATCATGTCTTGGACATCATAAAGAAAAAAAAAAGAATGACAGATTTGTTGAAACAAAAATTGCTGGGAAACAGAAGAAGATAATAGATGAACACAGTTGAAAAACTGTATCAGTGGAGAGTGAAGAGACAAGTACAAATTATTTGGTTTGTAAGCTCACAAGCACAGAATTTTCAGAAGATTGCAGATTAAATACTATTTCCTTAGAAGTTTTCGATTCCTGTAGAGACTGTGAAGGGAGTATTTAAATGTAAATTTCATTTTGTATTATGAATATTATTAAAATTATTTTCTTATAATCTAGAAACTCACTAAATTTAATTGTATAGTGGTTTATAAGATTTAATGAATCAATATCTAAATGATACGGACGCAGACACAATACATACATTGCTTGCTACGTAAGCTCCACACCTCACTATTTGATTTAACTTCCTAGAGTCCTTGACTATGCAAAACTCCACAAAAGTGCCTAGACCTTTTTTAATAGAAGTAAGAGTTACCTTTACTCCAAATTCAGATTGTCTAACAAAGTGTAACAAAATAGACTTTGACCAAGTAAATGTCAGTCATGGCTTTCATCTTTTTTGGAAAAGCAGAATAAGGAAAAAAATGAGTCTCAGTTAAGTAAGTTCAACATCATTCCTGTAGTGTGTGTGTGTGTGTGTGTGTGTGTGTGTGTGTGTGTGTGTGTGTG